GGTCCACGTTACCCACTGCAAAAAGGTAAGAACACATGCAAGCACCACTGAACACATGCAGAGTTAGAGAGAAGAACTGGACCAATAGGGTCTGGGGATCACCTCTGTTAACGAAGATCTCCTACCCCGACCTATCATCACTGTAGTGTGTTCTCAGGGTGTGAGTATGGGGTAGTACCAAGCAGAAAGACTGAGGACAGGAGAGGGTGTGAAAAGGGAGATTGTGGGGATCTATTTTCTTATAACTAGATGTGATGCCTAGCTTAGAAAGAATACATGAATGATTAAATATAATAGGTTTGTGCTGTACTGATATAGATTGTTTAACATAACAAGCTGTGATTAATGTGCGGAACTGTTAGGGGGTAGGCTGAGACAGACTTGTGATTCACACACACACTGCCTCTTTGTTAAACCGCTCAAGGACATATGTTCTGCTACAAAGAAGAACAAACTATGTCTGAGGTTGCTGACTCGAGACAAGTTGTAAAGATAACAACTAATGCCCGGCAACAGTGAAGCGCCAAGGGGCTGGGACCAGCCTGTGCGCCATCGATAGGTTGGGTAAGTTTAAACCACATCCAGCCTCTACTATTTAAAGAAGAACTTATAACAATGGCTCAGTTCTCTGTCTGCCCTGCGTGGTTTTTCAGTGGGCCCGTATATACGAACATCATATTTACCATTCAAGTGTTTGCATTAATTAAAATACTAGTCTATTTTAGAAGACGTGTATTGACCTCTTTTTGTTCCTATACCAGATTTGAATTGACGCAACTTGACACCATATTCACACGACTCTCATATCACATTCACACAACGCTATTTCCCAACACACAATCAATATTCGTATAACCTGCAGGAATATTTTATTCTATTAAAGTGCCCAAATTTGAAATGTTAACCCTATCAACATTTGACATTTCACTATGGTCAATTTTAACATAATCCTACATTACTTCTAAATTTCCCCAATATAATGATACCCTAAAAGATTGGCCGAAATACAATGTGTATACGTCATACGATCACACCCGTACACGTGACCTGTTCCTCCAACAGGATTTCTCATACCCCTCCTGGTAACATGAATTTTCAACACTTGGTTGATAAATGAATATCCACATACCATTCATTCTCCTCTTCTTAATGCAAGATTGGGCGTGCCCTTTCTCCACCAGCCCTAGAAGCTTTAAGCGACCTCAAATATAGTCATTTCTGACCAAATGAACAACCTGAACGAGACAGATGAAACATACAACTTAATTACATTTTACATTTTCGTCATTTAGCAGACGCTCTTATCCAGAGCGACTTACAAATTGGTGCATTCACCTTATGATAGCCAGTGGGACAACCACTTTACAATATATCAAAAACATTGTATTTATTTTATTTTTAATTTTTTGAGGGGGTGTGGTAGGGGGAGGGTAGAAGGATTACTTTTATCCTATCCTAGGTATTCCTTAAAGAGGTGGGGTTTCAAGTGTCTCCGGAAGGTGGTGAGTGACTCCGCTGTCCTGGCGTCGTGAGGGAGCTTGTTCCACCATTGGGGTGCCAGAGCAGCGAACAGTTTTGACTGGGCTGAGCGGGAACTGTGCTTCCGCAGAGGTAGGGGGGCCAGCAGCAATCACAATTGAATGAACCACAGCCGCTCAAGTAAACCATTTCCCCCACATGAGATGAGCAGATCTACTCTATCTAATACTTTCTCTATACTTTGAAGCCCCAGTGGCTTTTTTCACAACTGTTCAACCATTCTGGATGACCGGCGCTACTTCCAATTTAAGGTGTCACCTACTCCGGATGACCTACTTTTTACCCGAGTGGCCCTGTCTAATTAGTGCATCACCACACCACAGGCTGATGCGTCACCTACCCCTGAGCAGCCTCTAACAATGATAAACACGTTAGAGTGGTAACCGTAGGCCGTTTTACTCATGTATGTACAACCTACCCCCGAGCAGCCTCTAACAATGATAAACAAGTTAGAGCGGTAACCGAAGGCAATTATAGCTAGCCACCTGCCCGTTCAGCCCTCTGGAGTGCTAATTTTAGCTCTCCGAAGCGTTATCCACAGGATTTAACTTATTTACATTTATCTACAATAACATTGCATGCATGCTTATTTCCCATTCCAATAAAAACTAAATTTAGTCCTTAATACTGGAGAGACCCCTCTCGTACCTTACCCTCAGATTCAGCTTTTTTATGCTAAAAGTAAGAACGTCACTTACCTGTATTTAACAGTGGCCACTGCATTTGTGTGATTCGTCCAAACTTTCTCCGATAGCAAAGCACTCAAAGATCTCTTTCCCCAGTTCTGCCGGGGTCGCCAATTATGATGTGGAAAATAATCACTATACTTTATTTAAAATCAAAGTTCTTCCAGATGTATTTGGCTAAGGTGTATGTAAACTTCCGACTTCAACTGTACCTTGTCCATAATGTAGAGGCCTATGGGATTTTCATTAAAGAGGTAAGGGAGGAGGATGGTACATGTGATCTGCATAACATACCAATACCAATTGACATACTTTTGTATGCTTCCTCGTCTGTATACCTGCCGACACAGACACAAAAGTGAGCAGTTCAGTCATCTGCACCCAATACAGCTAGCCTTCAACATATTCTTATAGCCTACATATTCTTACCTCTTTGTTGATTGAAATCCATTTAATTGTGTCCATTTTCTGTTTTAGAAAGATTTGCACAAATATGAAAAGGTAGATGGTTTCATCATAAAACAATATCAATTTCGATCATATAAAAGACAAACCTTACCTTAAATTGAGGAGATCTTTACATTTTTTCAGTTAAGTGCCTGCACCTGCTGTCCTTTCAAATTCAAATCCAAATGTTTCAGTTGGGCAGTTAGGTTCTTGCAAGAACCCCCACCAACTAAGGAGGTTCCTCGGTGAACCCCACCTCCTATGGGGTTGTTGGAAGAACCTTTTGGGGGCAATTTTCAGTGCCAGGAACCCTAAGGTTCTTTGAAGACCTCTGAGGATATTAGAAGAACCCTTGTTGAACCCCTAATTTTTAGAGTGTAGGAAGGTACTCTAAAAAATAAATACTTTAAGGAAAATATTTTTTTGTTTTTTTTAGCTAAGCTCACATAATATAATTTAGAAGTATGCATTAAGGTGTCTGTAATAGAATAAACGTGTAAAAAAACGAATGTAGACATTAATAAATGCATTTCTATAGTTTCCAAAATATGTTTTACAATTGAGGAGGAGTGCCAAGATGGCTGTGCGGTGGCTTCAATTCAGCGCCCCCTGTCAATCATCCAGGGTTTATACACATTATTGGTAGCAACACATCGATGGGCCGGCTGCTGGACCAATCGCAGCGGTCTACAATCCACATAAAAAATTACATTAGCCTCTGTGACTGTATTGACCTGGCTCATGAAGTCTGAGCTGGTGTGCTTTCCTGGCTGATGTTATATACTGACTGACTCCTTCATCTTCTTCTTTGGTATTCTGACTGACTCCTTGATGAACCACTGACCTATGAAGTCCTGTCACGTTCATGTTCAAATGACGTATTTCTGGACCAGATTACATTTTCACCACCTCCCGAGTGGTGCACCTCAGCGCTAGAGGCGTCATTACAGACACCCTGGTTCCATTCCGGCCAAACCCGGACCAATTGTGCGCCGCCCAATCACGGCAGGTTGTGTCTGTAGTGATGCCAGGGTGTCTGTAGGCCGTCAACATATGATTCTCAACCTATGAATCTCATAGACAAGTAGTAGACATACAATGTCCAAAACTGATGTCATATGGAATATGTGACAATAGCGGTGTCACCTAACGGCAAAAAAATATACAATACACTTTTTGTATACCATCTTGTCTTGCTTTGTTTTCTCTTGCCAATAGTCTTAGGACAGTGGCTACTGCCACTTTAGGGTGTTCAGATATTAGCCTAATTTGTAGAATAATTTGTACCGTATGAATAATTTGGCTACCCTTGTATCGTGGTAATAGTACTGCGTCACCAGACACGATAATCACGTGATCATAACGATACAGTCAGTGCACAGCTGAGACAGATGCGAACAAGCCAGCTAGCTGTCATAAATTCCTGAAAAATACACAGTTTCTGCAAGAAGACGGGGAGATAGTTACGAACGAATAAATTATCCAGCCAATGGAGCAGATACACGACTTGCCATCATCTATTGTATTCCTCCTGAAGCATCGTTTTCTGTCTAAATGTCAATGTCATTCTCGTCTCTAGCTAGCCAAATAGCTAACTAACGTTAGCTAGCTAAGGCCAGGGGAAGCTGGTGTCGACTATACGGTACGTTATCCCTTGTTTCGAAACGCTATCTAGCTAGCTGTTCATCATACATAGCTTTTCATTGCATTGTATTTATTTAGTTAGCTTGCTAACTAATGGAAATGTCGTTTATTACTGGAAATGTCGTAGCTAGCTAACGTTAGCGTAGAGAGGATGTGAAAACATGAATGCTTAACAGTAACGGAGTTAGCGACAGTAGACAGCCAACCATTTTCCCTGTCTGGCTGTCTGTCGGTTATTTATTGATTCACCAGAGCCAAGCTTTGTCTATAGTTACTGACAGTCAGTTTTATCTTTGATGTTGATGACCCCCCCCCCCCACCACCACCACCACCACCACCACCACCACTACCACTACCACCACCACCACAACATAAACTTGTCAAAATGAACTATGCAACTGGCTATAAAGAATTTCCCCTTTAATAGATTCGAATCGTCTTTATTACATAGTTCCCCATGTCAAATCCTGTTTTGACATTGTCTGCAAAGCCTTTTTTGCCATGATAAAAGGCTGATCCATAAAAAAATATATATGGATTCTATCACCTCACATGTCATAAACCATCACAAGTAAACATTCTAACATTGTCACTCAGTCCAAACAGTTGCCCAGCAGTGGGAGGAGAGGTGTGGGTTGACTCCCTTCACTGGTGGCTGTGGCGTGTCACCACCACCAGAGTGCCATGACTACATCAAGTTGCTGCCACCTGCCTGGCTCCCTGTGTGACTACTCAGGCAGCGCCGCCGACCTGCCCAAGGAGGTAGAGGAGCCAGAATCCGGCCAGGCCCAGTACGTTGCCAAGGTTATGGCCAAAGATGGCCGCCCACTCTCCTCTGTTGTCAAAGCTATGGGCTCACAGAGGTAAGGGGGGTCTTCGAGAGGGTTCTTATCTTTCTTTGTAAATATGGATGACAGGGAATGTGGCCCTCTGCTTCTATCTGACATATAAACATTTTTCTTCCTTGAATGGAGATTAACAATGGACATATAGTTCTCAAAGCTTATAGGAGAGGGCAACATACTGTATCAATCTCAGATTCAGCATATCTGATACATTATTTTCATCAATATACTAAATTAATGTATTTTGTTTATAATGTATTTAATGTGTAATGTGTTTTGAAACGACTGGTCACCAGGCACAATTTTCTTCCCTATTTGTCTAGTAATGAAGGCATGTGTCGAATCTGCCACGAGGGGGCCGGTGGTGAGACGCTGCTCTCCCCTTGCAGCTGCACAGGGACCCTGGGTAAGGTGCACAAGAGCTGCCTGGAGAAGTGGCTGTCCTCCTCCAACACCAGCTACTGTGAGCTCTGCCACACCGAGTTCACAGTCGAACGGTGGCCCCAGCCCCTCACAAAGGTAAAATGGCACTGTGTGTGAGTGAGTGACAGGTTGATGGGTAATTCTGTTTAAGTCCTCAATCACCATAGTAATGACAGAATAATTACCATATTAATAATGATCCTTTCCTTGCATCCTCCCAGTGGTTGCGGGACCCAGGCCCTCGCAGTGAGAAGCGCACGCTACTATGCGACATGGCCTGCTTCATGCTCATCACGCCCCTGGCGGCCATCTCTGGCTGGCTGTGTCTGAGGGGAGCCCAGGACCACCTGACCCTCAACAGCCGGCTGGAGGCTGTGGGCCTCATTGCCCTCACCATTGCTCTCTTCACCATCTACGTCCTCTGGACACTGGTAACTAGCACACACTCACACACAGCCCTTATCACTATTACCATGGGTTACTTTATTCCACCTTTGTTAATTGACAGCATATTTTTGCAGTAGAAATGTGTGCTTTACAATCGCTAGTAGTACATTTGTGAGACAAATTAGACATTTGTGGAGTATTGTTTGTTTTGTTTTCTTGTATGTGGTATTCTGTGCCCTTCCCATTTTATATTCAGGGGAGACAAGTAATGTGCCAACAATATTTTGTGCCTGCAACAAGAATCGTTTGTTTGTACTCTGAAAAAAAGGCTTACAATAGTTACACAATCATCAAATGAAGCGGAACCATTTTGCAGACCAAATACAAATTTGTCATGCAATATGTCTAACGTTGTATCGTGCGAGCCTGCGATAGCAACCATATATTTAGCGAATCTGCTCTGCATTGCATATCAAACATCTGATGTACAGTTTCATTGACGTCTGTCTCCATGCCCCTCAGGTATCGTTCCGCTATCACTGTCAGTTATACTCGGAGTGGAGGAGGACCAATCAGAAAGTACGCCTGCTCATGCCTGACATGAAAGGAGCGCACTCTACACAACATTCCATCCCGACCAAGTCGACCAAGAAAATGACTGACGAGACCATCGTATGAGCGCCGTGGTCTCGCTATAAAAGTGTAATATATCTTGAACTTCTGCACTTGTGGACCATTCTGGGGATTCTTTCTCCATACTCACTATTATTTGAAGCACTTGAGCCCAGATATGAACTATAACCAGTGATTTTGGGACGTTTTGGACTCGTGGAATGAAGTGTCACTCATCGCTGGATTATGAACACTGGCCTGGAAAATCAGGACACAGCTAATGTAGCAGGATATAACTGACACAGCATGTTAATACAGTATATCTGAAACATACTACCCCCCTCTCCTTCACAAAGTATTTAGCTGTTTTTGGAAAACTGGCATCCAATAGCCCGTGAATTTACTCTCACAGAACAATGACCATGTGAACGACCAAGTCTAAATATTATGATGTTTTCTGTTGTTACATCTTTGCCTTTTTGAAGCTGGTAGAAGTGGGAGAGAGAAAAGCAGTGGGCTTTGGAGTGTCAGTCAATGTATGCAGGGTATGCTAAATTATTTTATGTTGCACTCTCTTGAATAAGCTGGGTGATTGTGCAATAAAACATAAGGGACTCTTGGTCTTTGCAGTCGGCACATCTGGCTTGCATGTGTGCTGAAACTCTTTGAGCTACTTATACAGGAGGAATAGATCTGTAATGATCTCTTGATGCAGTTAACTGCACTATACCATACCACCATCTAGTGGACATTTAAGGGACCACTCCTTGCAAGTGGTCCAGACTGTAGGAGCATGCAAACTACACAGGTAACATAAAAGAAATCCAGTCAACTACTGTAATATTGTAAACTTTTATTTCATGGCATTAATATAATGTGAGTTGACAAGCTATCAAAAACAAATATATTACACAAAATGAAGAATGTTGGCGCCACAACACTTTAAGATGACAGAAAGGGGAAGGTAAGCATCATCATGGGTTACAGGTTCTGGCAGCACTGCAGTTTGTTCCCTTTCTGGTCTGTGGTGGGCGGAACACTTATGTCCACCACATTGTTTCCAGGGGACTCGTCATGGGCGGACCGCTCAGCGATCTGCTTCTGCGATACGATGCGATAGATTTCTGTGGAGAGGAGAGTAGACTAGACTGTTGTGGTGCATCTCAATACTTCAAAGAGGATTTCTAGTTTACCTTCACTATGTCAAAGCAACTGGCTTTTTAGACAGTCCTTTTGCTGTTATACTGTACCTGTAAGGATATTCTTGAAAGCTTCCTCTACATTTGTTGAATCTAAGGCTGAAGTTTCAATAAACGATAGAGTGTTCTTCTCTGCAGGTTTAGAGAAAGGGCAAAGTGAGTCGCACAATCATTATTAAACAGTTCCTGGAAAGAATACCCTCTGTATTTACATTTTAGCAGACACTGTTTTCCAGATCGACTTTCAGAACCAATTAGGGTTAAGCACCTTGATCAAGGACACAGACAGGTTTTTCACCTAGGGATTCGAACCAGCAACCTTTCGGTTACTGGACCAACACTCTTAACTGCTAGGCTACCTGCTGCCCCATTTCACATTAAGGCTCCCTCAATACCATTTGCATTATATATTTAGGCTGCTACAGTATATAGCAATATTGTCCCAATACTCTCCTCCCTTCCCTTGTGATGACCACTGATATAAAAGTTCCAGATAGGTGAAAGCAACAATATGGAGCTGCTCTCATTTTACTTTCCTCCTATCCATCTCTTCAAAATCAGTGGTCCCTCAGGACCACAAAAGAAAGACAAGAAGGCTGTTCTAAGATTATGTCCCAACGTTCCCATGTACCCCTTAGTCTGGTCCTAGATCTGTTTGTGTTGTCTTGCAACTCTGTTTGCCATGACAATGACCATAGGAGTTGGCAAGACGGCACAAACTGATCTGGGACCAGGCCATGTTCCCCCTGCCAAAAGTACCCAAGTACCTGCAAAAGCCCGGGCCTCGTCCATGGGCACGGCCCTGAGGTGGCGCAGGTCGCTCTTGTTGCCCACCAGCATGATGACGATGTTGTTGTCTGCATGATCCCTCAGTTCCTTCAACCAGCGCTCCACGTTTTCATACGTCAGGTGCTTGGCGATGTCATACACTAGGAGAGCACCCACTGCCCCTCTGTAATAGCTGTAGGAAAGACTGCTTCTCAATATCAATGCACCAACAGACAATGTATGGGTCTCCAGTGAGGCTCCAAGTCAGGCACTGATTGATGATGAGGCTCATGATTGGCTAGTGCTCACCAAACCTGATCCTGGAGAGATATATTTATTGTCATGATTCTTGCCCTGGCGGCATTTCCGATAGATGGGTCAGCTGCAAAGGCAAAATTGGCTATATTGTAAAAATTCATGAAAACAAATTATCTTCTTGGTCTTAATTTAAGGTTAGGGTAAGGCATTATGGTTAGCAGTGTGGTTAGGCATTAGGGTTAGCAGTGTGGTTAGGGTTAGGCATTAGGGTTAGCAGTGTGGTTAGGTTAGGGTTAAGCATTAGGGTTAGCAGTGTGGTTAGGGTTAGGCATTAGGGTTAGCAGTGTGGTTAGGGTTAGGCATTAGGGTTAGCAGTGTGGTTAAGGTTAGGGTTAGGTGACTTTGTGGCTGTACCAGCTAGTGACCACTCTGCAGAGCTGCCTCCAGGACAAGATTCATGAGGAAAAACACTAACCTGCTATAGGGTGTGTAGGTTTATGTTCCACACTTACACCCAGCACTAAAACACCTGGTTGAACTAATCAAGGACTTGAGCAGTTGATTGATTAGTTGAATCAATGGAATCACCAATGTACAGTACCAGTCAAAGGTTTGGACATACCTACTCATTCAAGGGTTTTTCTTTAGTTTTGACTATTTTCTACATTGTAGAATAATAGTGAAGACATCAAAGCTATGAAATAACACATATGGAATCATGTAGTAACCAAAAAAAGTGTTAAACAAATGAAAATATATTTGAGATATGAGATTCTTCAAATAGCCACCCTTTGCCTTGATGACAGCTTTTCACACTCTTGGCATTCTCTCAACCAGCTTCAACTGGAACGCTTTTCCAACAGTCTTAAAGGAGTTCCCACATATGCTTAGCACTTGTTGGCTGCTTTTCCTTCACTCTGCCGTCCAACTTATCCCATACTTTTCCATCACTCTCCTTCTTGGTAAAATAGCCCTTACACAGCCTGGAGATGTGTTGGGTCATTGTCCTGTTGAAAAACAAATGATAGTCCCACTAAGCCCAAACCAGATGGGATGTCGTATCGCTGCAGAATGCTGTGGTAGCCATGCTGGTTAAGTGTGCCTTGAATTCTAAATAAATCACAGACAGTGTCACCAGCAAAGCACCCCCACACCATAACACCTCCCCCTCCATGCTTTACGGTGGGAACTACACATGCAGAGATCATCCGTTCACCCACACCGCGTCTCACAAAGACACGGCGGTTGGAACCAAAAATCACCAATTTGGACTACAGACCAAAGGACACATTTACATTTTAATCATTTAGCAAACGCTCTTATCCAGAGTGACTTACAGTTAGTGAGTGCATAAATGTTTCATACTGTCCCCCCGTGGGAATCGAACGCAGAACCTTGGCGTTGCAAGCGCCATGCTCTACCAACTGAGCTACAGGAGGCCTACACCGATCTAATATCCATTGCTCGTGTTTCTTGGCCCAAGCAGGTCTCTTCTTCTTATTGGTGTCCTTTAGTAGTGGTTTCTTTGCAGCAATTCGACCATGAAGGCCTGATTCACACAGTCCCCTCTGAACAGTTGATGTTGAGATGTGTCTGTAACTTGAACTCTGTGAAGCATTTATTTGGGCTGCAATTTCTGAGGATGGTAACTCTAATGAACTTATCCTCTGCAGCAGAGGTAACTCTGGGTCTTCCATTCCTGTGGCGGTCCTCATGAGAGCGAGTTTCATCATAGCGCTTAATGGTTTTTGCGACTGCACTTGAAGAAATTTTCAAAGTTCTTGAAACGTTCCATATTGACTGACCTTCATGTCTTAAAGTAATGATGGACTGTCTCTTCTCTTTGCTTATTTGAGCTGTTCTTGCCATAATATGGACTTGGTCTTTTACCAAATAGGGCTATCTTCTGTATACCCCCCTACCTTGTCACAACACAACTGATTGGCTCAAACGCATTAAGAAGGAAAGAAATCCCACAAATTAACTTTTAAGAAGGCACACCTGTTAATTGAAATTCATTCCAGGTGACTACCTCATGAAGCTGGTTGAGAGAATGCCAAGAGTGTGCAAAGCTGTCATCAAGGCAAAGGCTGGCTATATGAAGAATCTCAAATATAGAATATACTTTTTTGGTTACTACATTATTTAATATGTGTTATTTCCTAGTTTTGATGTCTTCACTATTATTCTACAATGTAAAAAATAGTAAAAATAAAGAAAAACCCTTAAATGAGTCGGTGTGTCCAAACTTTTGACTGGTAGTTTACCTCTCTGGGACTAACATTTGAGACCACTAGATTACTGTTTTCTGTGATCCTTGTTGACAATCATTAAATTTTCATTAGGCAGCCTTGAGGGATCCCACACGACTTACGCGGAGGTGATGGCTCTGTAACGTTCTTGTCCAGCCGTGTCCCAGATCTGGGCCTTTATCGTCTTGCCATCCACCTGGATGCTGCGGGTGGCAAACTCCACCCCGATGGTGCTCTTACTCTCCAGGTTGAACTCATTCCGTGTGAACCGAGAGAGCAAGTTACTCTTCCCGACGCCAGAGTCCCCAATTAACACAACTGTTGTTAAACAGACAGAGAGAGATACGGAGAGAATTAGATAAAGACAGAGTGAAAACACACAGGGTGAAATTCTTATAGCCTAACTGTCAGATGAGGTAGCCTAGTCAACAGGTATTTCCTAAATGTACTAGGATCCAGGATCCTGGGCTAGATCTTGGATCAATGCCTGCATTCTTCACCATGTGACTTGGTCCTCTCACCTACGACTGTTATGTAATGCGGGTTTTCATTTTCAATCACACCCATTGACAATATTGAATAAGTGAATGGCTGAAATCGACCTATTTGAAGTGGTACAGTGGGGGAAAAAATTATTTAGTCAGCCACCAATTGTGCAAGTTCTCCCACTTAAAAAGATGAGAGAGGCCTGTAATTTTCATTATAGGTACACGTCAACTATGACAGACAAAATGAGAATTTTTTCCACAGAAATTCACATTGTAGGATTTTTTATGAATTTATTTGCAAATTATGGTGGAAAATAAGTATTTGGTCAATAACAAAAGTTTCTCAATACTTTGTTATATACCCTTTGTTGGCAATGACACAGGTCAAACGTTTTCTGTAAGTCTTCACAAGGTTTTCACACACTGTTGCTGGTATTTTGGCCCATTCCTCCATGCAGATCTCCTCTAGAGCAGTGATGTTTTGGGGCTGTCGCTGGGCAACACGGACTTTCAACTCCCTCCAAAGATTTTCTATGGGGTTGAGATCTGGAGACTGGCTAGGCCACTCCAGGACCTTGAAATGCTTCTTACGAAGCCACTCCTTCGTTGCCCGGGCGGTGTGTTTGGGATCATTGTCATGCTGAAAGACCCAGCCACATTTCATCTTCAATGCCCTTGCTGATGGAAGGAGGTTTTCACTCAAAATCTCACGATACATGGCCCCATTCATTCTTTCCTTTACACTGATCAGTCGTCCTGGTCCCTTTGCAGAAAAACAGCCCCAAAGCATGATGTTTCCACCCCCATGCTTCACAGTAGGTATGGTGTTCTTTGGATGCAACTCAGCATTCTTTGTCCTCCAAACACAACGAGTTGAGTTTTTACCAAAAAGTTCTATTTTGGTTTCATCTGACCATATGACATTCTCCCAATCCTCTTCTGGATCATCCAAATGCACTCTAGCAAACTTCAGACAGGCCTGGACATGTACTGGCTTAAGCAGGGGGACACGTCTTGCACTGCAGGATTTGAGTCCCTGGCGGCGTAGTGTGTTACTGATGGTAGGCTTTGTTACTTTGGTCCCAGCTCTCTGCAGGTCATTCACTAGGTCCCCCCGTGTGGTTCTGGGATTTTTGCTCACCGTTCTTGTGATCATTTTGACCCCACGGGGTGAGATCTTGCGTGGAGCCCCAGATCGAGGGAGATTATCAGTGGTCTTGTATGTCTTCCATTTCCTAATAATTGCTCCCACAGTTGATTTCTTCAAACCAAGCTGCTTACCTATTGCAGATTCAGTCTTCCCAGCCTGGTGCAGGTCTACAATGTTGTTTCTGGTGTCATTTGACAGCTCTTTGGTCTTGGCCATAGTGGAGTTTGGAGTGTGACTGTTTGAGGTTGTGGACAGGTGTCTTTTATACTGATAACAAGTTCAAACAGGTGTCATTAATACAGGTAACGAGTGGAGGACAGAGGAGCCTCTTAAAGAAGAAGTTACAGGTCTGTGAGAGCCAGAAATCTTGCTTGTTTGTAGGTGACCAAATACTTATTTTCCACCATAATTTGCAAATAAATTCATTAAAAATTCTACAATGTGATTTTCTGGAGAAAAAAATTCTCAATGTCTGTCATAGTTGACGTGTACCTATGATGAAAATTACAGGCCTCTCTCATCTTTTTAAGTGGGAGAACTTGCACAATTGGTGGCTGACTAAATATATTTATTTCAATACTTCTCAGAGCTTATAGGTATTCTGTTTAATTGGTTGCCCTTAACCAAGGAGACATAGTAGTTGGTGTCTAATTGATGTTAATTTCGAGTGAAATTCTAGCATGTACACAGTTGGGCCCCTTAAGAGCACTGCTGAGAAACACTGAGCTCAATGATACAATTGTGATACAATTTTACTATTAATAATAATATTATTATTATTATTACCACAATAAGAGGTTGACAGAAACGGCCTATTCTACTGTATTTAGCTGACAGTAAAACACTGAGGTGACAGGAGTAGGCCTGGCAGTCACAACGGGGCTGTCGAGGTGGAGCCCTTTTGTTTTCTCACAGTACAGTAAATAAAGCTGAACTTTGTCCCTGTGGCATTATGCTGCTGCTGCAGGAAGCTGATAACATGTTCCATCAAACCTGAATCGACAGTTTTGGCCCGCTTTTGGCTTTCCTGTTTCAACAGGGTTTCTAAATGATGGTGAGGGAGGGAGGGAGGGAGGAGGAGGAGAACCCTTTATCGGCTGATGTCTACTCCACAGAAGATACTCTGTATCACTTCATAAATAGACCTCTATACGGGGTGTCGGTGGCGAGCTGCAATGGAAATCAAAGGAAGACATTCTAGAATAGATCAAAGGGGGATTTCTTGAGATAGAACATAGTATTCACAGTGTTATATGGTCCTTGGACACTAGTCTACATTGCCAAGTTTTAAATGTATTTTCACTAATTCTATGAAAAATCTATTTGTTTCATACATGCTCAGACCTCATGATATCAAAATATTTCACAGTCAATACAATTAACATACCCAATTACTGTAGGCCTACATGAATTCAACATTTGCATAATCAATAGTCCCACATTAACTAAAATATTAAATCATAGATCTATGAGATAAGGGAGGCTACAATTCACAATAAAAAAGATAACTTCGTATAGTTATTTTAACCATAAATGGGAAAACAACATTCTTGTAAGTAAGCGATTGATAAATAGTTCCTCTTTCATGGTTTCATCAGTGTTGATAAAGTCGAAAAGGCAACCGCAGATACGGTGTTGCATCTTACCTAAAAATATAGCTGTGGGCGTTGTTACAATGTTACAATGACAGCATTTATGTAGCCATAGTAGCAAACGTTTTCCACCAAAGAGACTGATACAATGTTCATTTCTAAACCATTTCTCCAGACTATTTGTTATTATTCGTTAACACTGATGTCTGATTTGTCATTGGACAGAACGCAACAATTATAGAATTATTGAAGGTGCTATGAACGGGCGAATGCAGTCATCAAAATTTACCTTTGAACAAGAAATCGTATTCATCGTCTCTGTTCCCCATTCTAGACGTGGCCTCTCCAACGCTTGTTCCGGAAAATAATGTGTAAAATTGTAAGCCTATGAATTATCGGTATGTACAGGAGAAAAATTAAATAAATGTGTAAAACAATGCGCCAATGTTGTCTGTCAAACAAGGCTGACCGCAGGAAGAGAGATCTCTGAACTCTGCACTGGGGTGGAGTCCCTGTGTTCATACCTTCCACACGGTGGCGCTGCTGGCTGTCATACTAATAGGAAACAAACAGCACAACCTATCCCTGCTGAGGGCCATTGAAAGAGTGTTGGATGCTCAATTTGTTTATCACAAAACTCTTCATCCTTATAGTTAATGTCTTAAATTAGCAGTGGGCCCTTGGCATATGGCTGATCATTGCTACTGCATTTATTCACTGTAGCCTAGCAAGGTCTGCTTATAAACCTAACCTGTCTGCAAAGCATTGTCTCATAAATTATTATTAATAATAACGCAGTCTACCATAGTGCCCTTGAATTTGTTACAAGTGACAGTTTTGATACTCATCACTGCATCCTGTATCAAAAGGTAGGCTGCTTTGCTAAAGACCTGTAGATCTCTACATTACTCCCTTTTTGTTTACAAGGCGCTACTTCATAAATGCTGTCTTATCTAACTTTGCTGTTGAAGTATAGACACCTGAGTTGCCTAACCCGTTCACAGGATTGGTTAACTTTTGAGATTCCTAGGGTCTCCACCGAGCTAGGTAAATCTGCTTTTATTTTCCAAACTTTACTTTTCTGGCCCTCCCTCCTCTTTATTTTCAACTCACCTTTCGCATCTTTTGTCATATAGAATTAAACTTCGACAATGTCCTTTTTGCCTCCGTGGATTGACATTAACTTTTTCTGGCCGTTCCCAAAAGCATAATTTAGCTTTCTGCCAGTTCCCAAAATAATTATTTGGCGATTGGCTGTGTAGGCTTTTTGGCGTGCGTACATTTAAGCCCTAAAGTTTTGGCTTATGCACTAATACCAGATAGCCTAAAATAATGAAAGAAAAACCTCAATGTAGCCTATATAAATTGCACAAGAATTATACATGTTTTAAGGTATTGCTTCTCTTAATTCAACCTGCCTGCCACCCAACCGCCCTTCAGCCACACAATATTTACCCACCCGCCCTTCAGCCACACAATAATTGGTGACCCTAAACCCATCCACCTGCAGATATATCCGTTCTAGCAGACGTCTCTATACTGATACTGGGGAAGGTTCTTGACTGCAGAAGCAAACACACCCACCTCTTCAAATTAGTCTCCACCCATTGGATCCGTCAGAAGGTCAGCTGCAGCCGAGTTGCACGTGCTCCATCAGAGATACTTTTAAGGAGATGGGAAACTCCATTAGAATCGTATTAACGCCCATTGTGTACATTGCCCATGCTCCTTCAAGGAGTGAATGGGAGTCAGTTGGGCGCTAGCTCAAAACCCCAACATTAGCATGAATTCTGTCAACAAGAAGTACAACATTACACATATTTTCCAAGATGTGAGATAATTAACTTGCTATCTGCAATATTGTATAGCTTTTGAATCGTGACATTACGTATTTTCGAGGAAAATAGGCACGTTTCCCGACTCATACCCTGACTTTGAGAAGGGATTGCGTGAGGATTAGCGTAGCAACCGCGTGACGCACCATGACAACCTGAACGCGATTGGTCGACAGTCTGCGGGGTGGGGCGTTATACGTTCCTCCATTCATTGCCCAATGCATTCAAGATCAAGATGGCAGCCTCCGTGTGTCGGTGCTATGAGGTGAGATTTGTTTTAATATTTCTCACCCTGGCTTGCACTGGCAATCGATGGATATTGACTGATTTGTTTTACAGCTCAGTATTTAACATTAGACGATATTTCTTCAATAACGTTACATTTTATCCTGTGATGACAGTTATGAAATGGGCCATAGCCCCCCCCCCCCCAATAGCTGCTCAGTTCATCTTCGTCTGCTTGTCCGAAATAATAACTCCTTTTGGCTAATGGGAGATGCATATTCGGCTCTGCTTCCGTCTGTTTTGAATGTCATTGCAAATAAAATATCAAACATGTCAGGAAAAAATAGACTACCATAACGTTAGATATAACAGGTAGAGATGTATTGTAATAGCTTCAATAGGAGTGTTTGGTTATAGCCTATGTTGTAATTCTCTTCAGCTGGTCGGAAGACGTCTTCTGATCCTGCCATCCCGTGCTGTCGTCTCCTCATTCAATAGAGGAGATGCCTATAGGATATGTCGGTCTCCGGCTGTCCCTGTGCAGGTAGCTAGAGACCAAAGCATTATCATCGTTGACCTTCAAATAATGATGGATCTGGTGGTAGCTAACTAGCCAAAACACAAACTGTTAATATTAAATGTCTTTCACTCATAAGTGCCCTCTTTCTCTCAGGTGCGGTATGCGTCAGAACGACCTAGTCGTAAAGGCTTCTTCGGAGAGTTTGTGGAGAACCTGAGGCAGGAGTTTGGGAAGGACAAGGAGATGAAGGAGAACATCAAGAAGTTTAGAGAGGAGGCCAAGAGGCTGGAGGAGTCGGATGCCCTGCAACAGGCTCGGAGGAAATTTGTACGCTCAAATTTGATTTTGGAGTGTAATGTCCCTTTCAGCCTGGGGTCACTAACCTTGGTTGTGCAGACTTGTTTCAGCCCAGTACTAACCTTCAACTAGTGAAGGTCTTGATGATAAGTTGAATTGCCAGTGCTGTGCTGGAACAAAAGCCTGCACATGCTGTCCAGGACTAGGGTTGGTGACAAGTTGACTTTCATCTGTGTTCCAAACAAACACTTGTGATGTCATGCACATTCGATGCTTGACTAATGTGGCATCTCATCAATGTCAACTGTTTCTTTCTGCCAGAAAACAATTGAATCAGAGACAGTAAAGACCTCTGAGGTGTTCAAGAAGACCCTGGGGACTCTGTCGGAGACTGTGAAGGAGGTGAGTCATTGTAACACTCTTGAAAATGATTAAAAGAACAATGGTCATTGACATTATCAGTTTAAGTAAACCCTCAGAATTAGGCCTAAGTGCAAATGTTTAATCCTTCTTGTATAATCCTTTTAGTTCATCAATGGTGTAAATCTGTTTTTATATTTCAGCTGAAGTATTGGACAGCTTATGAGTTAAACTTCAGTTCTATATCAGTGCTAACCCAAAGATGCCATTAATGTGGAACTGTTATTTATAGTAGCTTGTAACTTGCTGTGGTCCATGTCTGTCTGTCTGTCCAGGGCCTTGAGGAGGTGACCCGTACAGACCTGGGGAAGAAGATTAAGGAGGGGGTGGAGGAGGCAGCCAAGACAGCCAGGCACTCTGCTGAGTCTGTGTCCAAGGGAGGAGAGAAGCTGGGAGTGACCAGCGCCTTCAGGGCCATCTCACAGGTCAGAGACTGGCATTTAAAATAAGTAACACACCTCTCCATTGAAGGAAATTGGTTACGCTTTATTATTTTATTCTTTGGTCTGCTATTTACCCAGTTCCTGCTTAAAAATGGGCTTAGTTACATGATTACTACGTATCATTAATTGTGTTGAATGATTTTAATCAAGCACAAGAATGTAGCAGTTGTAACCAGTTGTTTTGGGGTAAATACCAGCTGTTGAGAGACTTGTAAGAAACATTGAAGCATCAACTCTGAAAATGTGTCAAACATCATGAATTCTATGGAATCATTTTACTGATGTACTGATCTCCTTTTCCCCCTCCCTCTGTGTGTGTACAGGGGATGGAGTCAGTGAAGAGAGAGATTGATGTGGTGGACGATGGTACCTATAGGGCTCCTTCTCAACTCAGGAAGAGGAGTGAATTCTCCTCCAAGGGAGGGGAGAGCGACAACCGTGTCTTTGAGGCCAATGAGTATGTCCCTTTTCACTTTTTCATAACCATGACATGGTTAACAGATACATTTTCCCATTCACTGACAATGCTATGGGTGTCCATTCAGCCATGCTTGAAACTATTAGGAAATACAACGTATTGATATAAATGGTCTATTTTGATTCACAGAGAGGACATGGGTGTTGTTCTGCACAAGGATTCTAAGTGGTACGCACAGTGGAAGGACTTCAAGGACAACAATACGGTTTTCAACAGTAAGAGAATGTTGTTACTGTATTTCATCAGAAATGATAACATGAGAGTGATGTAATCATAGGTCACATTCATGGTTGCGTGCACTTCACTGGCCAGTCAACAGGTGGCACTATATTCATTACATGGGCAAAGTGGAGGCAGAGTTTTCAGAATTGTACTTATATCTTGATGTCAAGTCTATCAGAGATGGGATTTTTTCTGATCAAGAAATACTTTCTCTTAAATTGTATCTTGTTTGATTTTCTGTGGAGGGTCCCAGAGTCTTGGAAGTCTTTGGGATATTTTCAGCTCAGCATTTCTTGTATTACCTCTCCTCACTCCTCAGGGTTCTTTGAGATGAAAATGAAATATGACGAGAGTGACAACGCCCTTGTCAGAGCGTCTCGAGCCGTGACCGACAGAGTCACAGATCTACTAGGTAAACAACTTCTCTTTTAAATTATGTCCCGGTTGAATCATTCTATCACTCTGAGGGGATTACTGGGTGTGTGTAATAGTTTCTCCGTTATATTGTCTGGTATGTCAATAGCCACAAAGTGACTACCCTATTTTCTTTCAGAAGTTCTGATAGATAGTTGGACTACATAGGTTTCCACTATTTTTACATCAAATCCTATTTATTTGGTTGGCAGGTGGTCTCTTCTCGAAGACTGAGATGTCTCAGGTGCTGACCGAGATCTTAAAGGCAGACCCCAGCTTCGACAAGGACTCCTTTCTCAAACAGTGTGAGAAGGACATCATCCCCAACATCCTAGAGGTAAGGGCACAAACACTTTCTAACACTTTCAAACAATTCCAAACACTTTTTAACTATTTGAAGCACTTTTTTTGATCAGTGTTTTGTTATTTTCAATTGTAAGTCATGAGCTTTTGAAATGCACACCAGAAGTGTAATCCATAGATCACTGGAATTGAATAGATGTTGGTTACCTTTGTTATAAGATAACTTTATAGATATCCAGCATGCAGTAGCTAAGGTTTACGAATGCACCAATGTGGCTCTGTTGTGCAGGCTATGATCCGTGGAGAGCTGGAGGTGCTGAAGGACTGGTGTTATGAAGCTGTAAGTCGTTTTATATAGACCGCACTCCATTCCTCTTTTCCACGTTTACTGATGTCTGTAACAAGTAGTGTCTGTACAAAAGGGTTTACTTGGCATGCTTTCTTTTCTCAGAAATATAGTTTTATTAGATTTTCTTATCACTATCAGGGTGAAAAATACTTTCAAATAGCATTCTTCCTTTTAGTTGAAGAATGCTATTTGACCCTCGTCTTTCCATCCTCAGACATACAGTCAGCTGGCCCATCCTATCCAACAGGCCAGGGCCCTGGGTCTAATGTTTCAGTCCAAGGTCCTAGATATAGACAACATAGATGTAAGTACATGAATGTGTCTGTCAGGCTCAACCAGGCCATGTCATTACTCTGCTTGAGCTACATGTACAAGTCGGTCACCAACGTTTTGGTAGCCAGCAGATTGTCATTATTTCAGGTTTAACATAATTTCCTTCCCCTGTTCCCTCTCTGCCATTCCTTCATTCCTTCTCACTCAGTTGGCGATGGGGAAGATCATGGATCAAGGCCCTGTGTTGATCATCACGTTCCAGGCCCAGGTGGTCATGGTGATTCGTAGTCCCAAGGGAGACCTGGTGGAAGGAGATCCAGTGAGTTACCTCCTAGATGGTTACAACCTCTGTGATAGCTATTCTACCCATCTTTCTCTCTGTCCTGGCAGATTTTGTCTAGGTCACTTTGCTCCTAAACCCGTCCATTTCTCCAGCCTTCGATGGTAATATGGAGTCTGATACTCTCTAATATGTGGATAGGCCACTGGGAGTAGACGGTTACCGGACTGCACTCTGGTCAAAGAACGATGTCAGACACAGAAGGGAAACAGGATAAAATAAAGAAAAAATGACTACAATGTAAATCCAATAAACAGTATTACATTAAACAGTAATGTCAGCAATCTCTAGACACAATTTACAATAAGAGAAAAAGAACACCATAATTCCTCTCAGGAGAATTAACATCACAGTAACACCAACTGGTAGTCTAATCACACAATATTACAACATGGTAAAGAAACTGATGAAGAAAGTTACGCCTCTACATACACATTACTTGTATTTACATATAACAATAGGAAACTTTATAACATTTAAATAAGTATTTGTTCTGACTTATATTTCGTCAAAAACGCACAAATATCCCTGGTCTCCACAAAAGACAACTGGAAACTGCGAAATAACCTTTAATTCATTTTTTATCAATTGGTTGCCATGGGGAATAATCCAATAATAATTGGTAGGACACATGAAAGAAAACATCAGAGTTGACCAGAATCTCTAAATAACAATACTGTAGATGTAATTACATTTAGCAGGATTCTAAATTCAAATCTAACAGGCTTTTATACAGATGGTATCTTTCGTCCTACTTCCCTATCCCTCTTTCTAACCCTGTTTCTTCTAGCCCATTCCGGCTTCCCTTTCCTTAACCTTGATATCTTTTTCCCCATTCTTCTAACCGTTGTCTTCTGTGCTCTTTTCCCTCTCTCCTACTCTTGGTGATATCTCTCCTCCCCCCAGGAGAAGGTGTTGAGGATGATGTATGTGTGGGCTCTGTGTCGGGACCAGGAGGAGCTCAACCCCAACGCAGCCTGGAGACTACTGGACATCTCTGCCTCCAGCACCGAGCAGGCTCTCTGAGAGACCAGGAAAGAAGAAGAGACAGAGGGACACTCCCAGGACACACACACACACAAACACTCCCAGGACACACACACACACACTCCCAGGACACACACACACACACACACACTCCCAGGACACACACACACACACACACACTCCCAGGACACATATACACACACTCCCAGGACACACACACACACACACACACACACACCCACACAACACACACTCCCAGGACACATATACACACACACTCCCAGGACACACACACATACACACTCCCAGGACACATACACACACACACACACACACTCCCAGGACACATATACACACACACACACACACACTCCCAGGACACATATACACACACACACTCCCAGGGGACACACACACTCCCAGGGACACACACACTCCCAGGACACACACACTCCCAGGGGACACCACATACACACACACACACACACTCCCAGGACATATATAGACACACACACACACTCCCAGGACACACCCACACACACACACTCCCAGGACACATATACACACACACACACACACTCCCTGGACACATATACACACACATTCCCAGGACACATACACCACACACACACACACTCCCAGGACATATACACACACACTCCCAGAACACATATATACACACACACACACCCACTCCCAGAACACATATATACACACACACACACACTCCCAGGACACATATACACACACACACTCCCAGGACACATATACACACACACACCCTCCCAAGACACATACACACACACACACACCCTCCCAGGACACACACACACACACACTCCCAGGACACATATACACACACACACACACACACACACACACACACACACACAACCCACGACCCTCCCAAGACCACAACACACACACCAAACCCCCACATCTCCCAGGACACACACACACACACTCCCAGGACACATACACACAACCCAGTATACACCGCAATATCACACAGCCCGTCAGGAGGACACACACAGGACGTGGCGGCGTGCCACTCTACAGACGCACACTGGAGTGTGTTTGTGTGAGTTTGTGGTTAGTCCTTAGGGTGCAGATGGGATCTGCGACTGGTGTGAGTGTGGTCCTGGGAACAGAACAGTGTGTATTATGGACAGAGGAGGAGGTCTCGACGTAAAAGGACAGTTTGTTTTCACCAAGTGACTCTAAAAACAAAGCGCCTGTGCCCCCCCCCCCCCCCCCCCCCCTCTTCTCCTCTCTCTCTCTCTCTCCTCTCCCTCCTTCTCTCTCTCCTCTCTCTCTCTCTCTCTCTGTCTCCCAGTGGAAGAGTCCATCCTCTTTCATGCTGGTTGCCTGTTTTGGAGCAGAGGGATCCTTCGAATAGTCATATTTATGCCTTTTACAGAAAGGCAAAAAACTGTTAAGATATCTATGTATGTTTAAAGATCCATCCTGTCTTCAACAAGAAGAAACCTAGCGTATTAATTTAAAATATGTCAAACACTGCTTCTTAGCAAGCTAGGGTGGGACCACAGTCAGGCTTGTCATAAGGCCGCTACTACTTCAGCGGAATAATTGCCATTTCACCTTTTGCACTTATGTTCTCAATACCTCCACATTTACGTATAGGGTACTGTACGAAAGATGACTGCCTGCAACGGGTACATTCCTACGTTTTATGGCTGTTTTTAGATCCTTTTTAATTACATAAGTTTGACTATTACAAGGTTTTCGCATCGGGAAACCGGAATACTGGTAATTGAAATGATTATTTTAGTTATCCATAATTCTAACTCAAATTGATATTTCTGAAGGGGTGCTTGTGGTTGGTTATAGCTAACTGATTTCAGTGTTTCATTCATTGCGCTAACGTTACAGAACAAGGACCATCATTGTGATGTAAAGAGTTGGTTGGTTCTAGCATGAAGAAAGCATGTTGAAATGGACAATCATATTTCAGCCGTCTATATAGATAACATGTAAATGTAATGCTCTGAGATGTACTATTCTACTTACGCAATAAGGCACGAGGGGGTGTGGAATATGGCCAATATACCACGGCTAAGGGCTGTTCTTAAGCACGACGCATCGCGGAGTACCTGGACCCAGCCCTTAGCCTTGGTATATTGGCCATATACCACAAACCCCCGAGGTGCCTTATTGCTATTATAAACTGGTTACCAGCGTAATTAGAGCAGTAAAAATAAATGTTTTGTCATACCCATGGTATACCACGGCTGTCAGCCAATCAGCATTCAGGGCTCGAACCACCCAGTTTATAAAAAACAATGACCACATTGTATAAAGTATGGTCTCTAGATTAAAGGATATATGACCTGGAGTTTTTATGGAACAACTTCTGGCCCTAGATGATCTTAGTTGGACCATGAATGTGTTGATAGAAGGTCAGTTTCTAACTAAATATAGATTATGTTTCTAACTATAGATTCACCTGTTTTTTCAGGATTAGTTTTTGACAGATAAGGTCCATTTGAAGGCCTAGAATCAGATTTCCATACGCCCAGTCCTATATGTAACCATTAGGTCCCTATGCCCAATCCTATACGTAACCTTTAGGGGGTATAAATATATCTGATCCTGGAACAGGGGTTGGGGCAACTCCTCGAAGCTCACAGGAAGTTGAAGTGAACAGCCCTTGTAGTGGCAGAAACCTCATACTATACAGTATATCGAAGAAGAGAGATTTTTTGTGTAAAATCACCCGATTCCACTCTGGGTTGAATCCTAACTTGAGCGACTCATGCTCAACTCTGGCTCATGCAAACATTAATTTATGTTGATGGGAGATTTGTGGGAAATTGAGGTACACACGTGGATCTCAAGTTAGGATTCAACCCTGTGAGATTATCACTTTTGTTTACATCCATCCACTTCATTTGAGTCGACCAAAGGAAATGTTTATGTATTCTATCACTTTTTTTTCTTGTTGGTTTTTAACAATGTTTTATGTCAATGTGTGTTACTTCTGCCATGAGTAAAGAATGCTGTATGATACTGAAGCTTTGTCCACATTTTTCATTGGCCGTCATTCACCAAGGTATAATAATAGTCTATCATTGGAATGCATCACACATATTGTGTCTAAGCACATCCAGCACATTGTCTTTGTTTTTCATCTGGTAACTGGCACACTTTGATAGATGTTTATGGATTTGGCCGTTGATTCTGATAAATAAAGCTATGGATTTGGCCATTGAGGCTGATAAATAAACCTATGGATTTGGCCATTGAGGCTGATAAATAAAGCTATGGATTTGGCCATTGAGGCTGATAAATAAAGCTATGGATTTGGCCATTGGGGCTGATAAGGTTTTAAATAATACATGCCTTTAGGTTCACACACATGGTAAATAACAGGGGAGCCTGTTTCACTGCTGTCTCCTGCGATGAATGGCTCAGGCCATCAGTCCTATTCCTCCCTCCTTTCTCCTCTCCTCTTTTCTCATACTGATCCCTCTCCGAAGCCTGAGGACACACACACAAACATGCAGGAAATACAAAGTAGATGCAATTCAGTGAATACCCACAAACAAAAAGGTGAAACACTGTAATATGTGTGCTATAGGGGTTATTCACAAAACTCTACCTTTGAGTAGAGTACACTCTGACCCTTTTGGACTGTGATCCTCTGTGGCCCTGATCCAGTCCAGCACACTGAACCAAAGTGGAACTGAAAGGAGTTTCATTCACCAACACTAAAGCCTTGCAGCTAAACGTTGGTTTTCACCCGTTATGTTACTAGAGAATGACTTCACTATTAGTAGTGACACACAGGGTACATTCTGTTCTTTACAGTAGGACATGTCATTCATTATAGGCCATAGGGAGAACCGATGGACTCAATGGGGATGTTTTCTTCTTGGCAAGTGCTGTCTATGGCTCTCTCACTATTTAGCTACTGTTAATTGTCCTGATTGGTTATGATTAGGTTTTCCCGATGGCTTGGGTGCTGTCCATGGTCCTAATTGGGTGGGCGCTGTCTACTTTCTTCAATGGTTAGGTGGTTAGGTTCTGTCCATGGTCCTGACTACCATCCCTCAGAGCCTTTGGTTGCATTCCTCTGCTCAGATGTTGCTGACGCATGCCAGATCTTAAAACGCCTGGATAGGTATTTTACGTATCAGCTAACCACATCATTATGTTATAGCACAATCGATGTCGTGGCACGCAACCATTGGTTGATACAGTGGCTTGCGAAAGTATTCACCCCCCTTGGCATTTTTCCTATTTTGTTGCCTGACAACCTGGAATTAAAATGTATTTTTGGGGGGTTTGTATCATTTGATTTACACAACATGCTTACCACTTTGAAGATGCAAAATATTTTTTATTGTGAAACAAACAAGAAATAAGACCAAAAAAAACAGAAGACTTGAGCGTGCAATACAAAGTCAATACTTTGTAAAGCCACCTTTTGCAGCAATTACAGCTGCAAGTCTCTTGGGGTATGTCTCTATAATCTTGGCACATCTAGCCACTAGGATTTTTGCCCATTCTTCAAGGCAAAACTGCTCCAGATCCTTCAAGTTGGATGGGTTCTGCTGGTGTACAGCAATCTTTAAGTCATACCACAGATTCTCAATGGGATTGAGGTCTGGGCTTTGACTAGGCCATTCCAAGACATTTAAATGTTTCCCCTTAAACCGCTCAAGTGTTGCTTTAGCAGTATGCTTAGGGTCATTGTCCTGCTGGAAGGTGAACCTCCATCCCAGTCTCAAATCTCTGGAAGACTGAAACAGGTTTCCCTCAAGAATTTCCCTGTATTTAGCGCCATCCATCATTCCTTCAATTCTGACCAGTTTCCCAGTCTCTGCCGATGAAAAACATCCCCACAGCATAATGCTGCCACCACCATGCTTCACTGTGGGGATGGTGTTCTCGGGGTGATGAGAGGTGTTGGGTTTGCGCCAGATATAGCGTTTTCCTTGAATTGTAACTTCCATCAATGTAATTGTCTGCATCACTTCCAATCCCCCATGTTATATATATATATATATTTTTTTTTTTTCCCCCACTGGGGAAAAAAGTATTTAGTCAGCCACCAATTGTGCAAGTTCTCCCACTTAAAAATTTGAGAGAGGCCTGTAATTTTCATCATAGGTACACGTCAACTATGACAGACAAATTGAGAGAAAAAAATCCAGAAAATCACATTGTAGGATTTTTAATGAATTTATTTGCAAATTATGGTGGAAAATAAGTATTTGGTCACCTACAAACAAGCAAGATTTCTGGCTCTCACAGACCTGTAACTTCTTCTTTAAGAGGCTCCTCTGTCCTCCACTCGTTACCTGTATTAATGGCACCTGTTTGAACTTGTTATTCTTGAAGAGTGCATTTGGATGATCCAGAAGAGGATTGGGAGAATGTCATATGGTCATTGGTAAAAACTCTACTCGTCGTGTTTGGAGGACAAAGAATGCTGAGTTGCATCCAAAGAACACCATACCTACTGTGAAGCATGGGGGTGGAAACATCATGCTTTGGGGCTGTTTTTCTGCAAAGGGACCAGGACGACTGATCCGTGTAAAGGAAAGAATGAATGGGGCCATGTATCGTGAGATTTTGAGTGAAAACCTCCTTCCATCAGCAAGGGCATTGAAGATGAAACGTGGCTGGGTCTTTCAGCATGACAATGATCCCAAACACACCGCCCGGGCAACGAAGGAGTGGCTTCGTAAGAAGCATTTCAAGGTCCTGGAGTGGCCTAGCCAGTCTCCAGATCTCAACCCCATAGAAAATCTTTGGAGGGAGTTGAAAGTCTGTGTTGCCCTGCGACAGCCCCAAAACATCACTGCTCTAGAGGAGATCTGCATGGAGGAATGGGCCAAAATACCAGCAACAGTGTGTGAAAACCTTGTGAAGACTTACAGAAAACGTTTGACCTGTGTCATTGCCAACAAAGGGTATATAACAAAGTATTGAGAAACTTTTGTTATTGACCAAATACTTATTTTCCACCATAATTTGCAAATAAATTCATAAAAAATCCTACAATGTGATTTTCTGGATTTTCTTTTCTCATTTTGTCTGTCATAGTTGACGTGTACCTATGATGAAAATTACAGGCCTCTCTCATCTTTTTAAGTGGGAGAACTTGCACAATTGGCGGCTGACTAAATACTTTTTTTCCCCACTGTACATGCCATATCTTTCTAACTGTGCTCTTTCACAAAAGCTCCCAACCTACAACCTATATACTTATTATGGACACAGTATGCTTACATTATTAGTTATCTTGTTATTGTTTGTTGTTAGTTGTTATTAGTCCCATCCTTCAATTCCATTCAACACCTCCTATCTATCTTTTAACACCATCCATATAGGATTTCTATTTGCCATATATATGTCAACTGTACTGTG